AGTGAAAGGAAAACTAAGCTACCTGCCCTGAGCGAATGTGAGATCTGGCTGCAGAGGCGAGAAAGAACCGTTCCATCTGCAGAAACAGCCTAGGCCAGGACCGGGTGTGACATCTACTGTGCACACTCCCCAGACCCTGGCTCTCACTGTGTGTTCTGATGAGTCCCTTTACCTCTTTGAGTCTCTATTTCTTCATCTGCCACAGTGTTTTCCAACAGAATTTCTTTTTAAAAATATTTTATATTATTTTACGTGTATGAGTATATTGCCTGCATGTATGTAAGTAGACCTGTCGAGCAATGCCTATAGAGGTGAGAAGAGGGTATCAGATCCCCTGGATATGGACTTATGAATGGTTGGTAGCTGCCATGTGGGTGTTGGGAACCAAATCCAGGTCCTCTGCAGGAGCGGTGAGTGCTCTTAACCACTGAGTCATCTCTCTAGCCCTATCCAATAGAATTTCTACGGAAAGTTTTAATGTTCTGTATCTGTACTGTTCAATACCAAGTGTGGGATTACTGCCAAGGGGCTTTGGAGCTTATAAAACATGCCTAACACCTAGATTTTAAACTTGGTAAGTTTAGTTATTTTAAATTTAAGTAGCTGTGTGTGCCTAGTGACTACCATATTGGGCAGCATAGACCTAGCCACTTAGGAGACAGGATGTTTGTCTATTTGCAGCAGTATATTGAGAGAACTCTAGAATTCTACATTTTGCCTCAAGACCTGCCTTGAAATAATATGGTGGTGAAATTCATGCCCCTAGCTTTGGTGTGCCTGGGTGTGAGGCCCGAGTAGACCCCTTAGCTTCTCAGCACCTCGGTTTCCTTACCTGTCAACTGTGGATAATAACAGTCACCTGATCATGGGGCTACTTTAAAAACTAAGTGAGATAAAAGATGGTGATGCTCAGAACGGAGTCTGGCTCCTACAGCTCACACACGGCTGCCTGCTAAGAGCTGTGTTATTAATGAGGCAGCATATGTCAGCCTCCTGGGGCTACACCGTGTCCCCAGGATCAGGAACCTCCTCCATCCTAGCACCTGAGGAGAGACACAGGCGTTGATCTCATGCCACCCCCACCCCTCCTATGCCAAAGAGATTAAAATTGTTCTGGAGTTTTTAGATTCAGTGCAAAGCACAAATCAACTGGAGAGTGCCTAGGGTGGGACATTTATTATTTGCATGCAGATTGTTAAGACTTAAAATTCCTATGAACGTGCTGAAGAACACAGACCACACCTCATTTTCTTTCTTGCCTTCCCCATGCTTTGGAGAGGGAAAAACACCTTCAGAATGTAGGAACACTGTCCTAGGTTGCTTTGGCGTCAACTCAGGGTAATGGCTACTATGGGATATCTGTCTGAGCAGTTCCCTGTGGGGCGTCACTGATGCCACCCGCAGTGTATCCCATTGGGTAAGCATCCTCTTTGGCCTTGCTTCAGTATACAGTGGATTTGGCAGGGATTTGGATGGGGAGGAGAAGTTTTAAATGTCATTTCAGCTCTGATGGTCCAAGATTGACAGGTAGAAAGATGGCTTAGTGGCTAAGAGCACTTGCTGCTCTTGCAGAGGACCCAAATCTAGTTCCCAGCAGATGACTGGCTGCTCACAATCATCTGTAACTCCAGTTCCAAGGAAGCCGATGTGCCTCTTCTGGCCTACATAAGTACTGCATGCATGTGATGCACATATGCACATTCAGGTAAATACTTGTACACATAAAAAACATTAACACTATAACAGGCTGTCAAGGCTTGTAATTAAACAGTATGTTTCCTCTGGCACAGAACTTTACAGATCAGAGTGTCCTAGTTACTTTCTGCTGCTGTGATTAAACAAAACAAAAACAAAACCAAAAAACAAAAAACACTGACCAAAACCAACTTGGGGAGGAAAGAATTTATGTTACATTCCCCAGGTCACAGTTCATAGAAGCCAGGGCAGGAACACGGACGCAGAAGCCCTCACCATGAAGAGACTTTGCTTACTGTCTTGTCCCCCTGGCCTGTGCTCAGTCTGCTTTTTTTTTCTCTTTCTTTTTCTCTCTTTTTTTGTTTTATCTTTTTCAGACAGGGTCTCCCTGTAGCATCAACTGGCCTGGGACTTACTATGTAGACCAGGCTGGCATTGAACTCACAGAGATTCACCTGCCTCTGCCTCCTGAGTGCTGGGATTAAAGGTGTGCGCCCCCACGTCCAGCTCAGTCTTTCTTATATAACCCAGGACCACCTGCCAAAGGTGGCACCACCCACAGTGGGCTGGGCCTCCCACATCAACCAATAACAAAGGAAATGTCTCACAGACATGTCCATAGGCCAGTCCAGTAGAGGAAATTCCCCAGTTGAGGCTCCCCCTTCCCTGGTGTACCAAGTTGACAACAAGCTATCCAGCACCCAAGGTGAAAAAACTCAAATCTATCCAGTGACTGAGTAGTTTGCGGCAATGACTAGGTCATGCTGAGTAGATGCAAAGGTGAACTGCAGTGCCCACCCTCTGAGGAGGCTGCTACTCCATGTCACCAGGTAGCATTACCTTGGGAGAAAGTAGCCTTTTTTGACAGATCTCCAGATTTTCCAAGCAACGTCAGAAATGTGGACTTTTGAAAAGCCAAACCTTCCATTTTTAAAGTTTGACTCAAAAAGCTACAAAAACTGTAGGCCATGCAAAGGCCACATATAGAATAAACTCCTTCCTCCACCTGTCCCGGGCTAGATGATCAAGCCAAAGGAGCTCAGATCCCACACTGGTCTCAGGAGACCGACTTTAGAAGTAATTCAGGTATCAGAACAATTTTTAAAATCTAACTCTTTCTGATAAAAATGAATACTATAACCTTTGGTCCAAACCAGTGGAGTTGAAGCTGGGCTGAAGACCCAAAGCAAACAAGGTTCCTGCTGATTTCTGGGAGTTGGCTGTCCTGTGTCAAGAGAGACATTCAGAGCTGCGGCTCGTTTCAGCCCAGGTGGCTAAACCCCAAAGGCCTGGTTATCTTGAATCCCTGAGAAGCAAAGCTTCCCATGCTCCTTGCTGAGTCATAGAATCAGTTCCCCAGAATTGTTAGGAAACCACCATTAAATGGAACAATTAGTTCCTACCCGAGCAGTCCTGGAATGGCAGAGGTTTAATCCCTGCCCTTCCCTGCATGGAAGCTTGTCCATGTCCTTTTTTCCTAGCAGTCATTACAGCCCATGATGTATGAAGATCTGTTTCCTTGTTTACATCATCCAACCCACCTCACCTCCTTTAACAGCTAGAAGAGACAATTTCCAAAGGCGATCTTCCCCCAAGGTACCCTGACCTGGCAACATGAAGCAAGTCTCCTTGGAGAATGGGCACTGCATCTGCCCAGTACTGTCTATTCACTGTGGCCGCCTGCCGAGTCACTGAAGGTGTTTGAGTTTTTGACCCTCATCTGTGTAGTTCTGGCCCAGAGAATGGAAATACTGTTTAATTAATAAGTGGTTGTCGAGGTTGCATTGCAGTGTCTCCAGAACCAGCAGCCTGTTGTTTCTTTGGACTCCTTTGTCAGACAGACTGCTCTTCAAAAGCAAATCTGACCTGGGGGATTTACATCAGCACCCATGTTAATTTGTGGGGTCACACATGCTGAGCTCACATTCTCTTCCAAGGTACAGGCTCCACCTCACAAGTATCCTGTCTCTGAGTCTTTTCATTTTTCCTTCAAGGTGAAACATGTTTATTCTTTATCTCCTGAAAGAGGAGAATGATAAAGGTAAGTAGGAGAGAGGTAGAAAGAGGATGAGAGAGAGAGAGAGAGAGAGAGAGAGAGAGAGAGAGAGAAACTCAGGAGTCCTGAACAGTGCTGACAATGTTGCAGGCACTCCTATTTTCAATGTGTATTTTAAAGTCAGATGATCCGGTTTTCCAATATGGACCTTTCTCACGTTTGGATATACTCATTGAAAAATAAAATAAGCTTGTATCCTTGGTCCTAGCACGTTTCCATGTGAATACATCAGAGGATACATTAGTTATGTCTGAGAGGATGTCTTAGGCCTTGTCAGTCTTACGATTCTAGATTCCCTGGGGAACATCACCCACTCTGTGAGTGCGTGCGTGCGTGCGTGCGTGCGTGTGTGTGCGTGCGTGCGTGCGTGCGTGTGTGTGTGTGTGTGTGTGTGGCTTAATTATATAGATGGGCTTTTCTTCTAGAAACATGGCTCTGAAATGCCACCAAAGGCAACAGGCCCAGGAATCATGATACCATCCCCACATGACCCAACATCTTTGGTGTCTTGAAGATAATTAATCTTTATGAAGAACAAAGCTGTGTCTCTCTTGCATGTGAGGATTCGTGCTCACATAACTAAGCGTGTTAATATCTGATAGAGTTGAGTGGCGTGCAGAGCAGTGGGCCCAGCCAGTGCCCTCCAGACAACTTATACATCTCTCTGGCCCCATGTGCCACTCATAAAGATTTCAATGGTAAGATCCAGAGCCTTAGGCAGGGCAATGTTCAAAGCGCCAGAAAGCTGGAGGAGTAGACATGTTGCGGTATGTGATTAGCTGCATCTGTGGGTGTGGGGTGAAAAACGGCAGCAGATACAGCTGGAGACCATAGAGGAGACATTATTGTCCCTAAATTATTACTGAATAAGAGGAAGGTGGACTTTATTTAAATGTGTGTAAGGGCTCTTGTTTTAGAAGAGATTGTCTCAAATACCTCACTTTGCACAAACAGTGCTATTTTAGGAAAACAAGTGAGCCTGGAACATCAGCCATCTGGATTGGGATGCTAAGGAAGGTCACCTGACATAAATGCTAAGGAATAGGGTAAAGACACTTAAAACAGATTGATTCATTCTTCTTGGGAGTATGCATTTATAAGAGTAAGCTTTGAATGCTGTTGTATACAGGTCTTTAAATGATTGGTTCAGAAAGCCCTGGAGTAAGATATTAGGGCCGATGACAAAACCATGCATAAGGATACAATTTCAAATGACAATGCCTTTCACAGATTAAAAAAATACAATCTCTAGAAACAAAAGAGGATCTTTTATAATAATAAAAAGATCAAATCCAACAATAAAGTATCCCAACCACAAGCATGTCCAAATTTATGATGTAATAGCCAACAAAACTGAAGCAGCAACACAATAGCGATGGCTAAGGACCTAAATAGCCCACCGTAGGTGGTGAGTAAAACAGCTAAGCAGAAGGTCAAGAAGGAGCCAGAAGACATAAAGAGCACTCCAGATCACCGTACCCAGCAGGCACCTGTACAGGACTTTCCACCCACGACAGCAGAGTATACATCTTCTCAGGTAGACCCAGGGCATTCATCAAGGTACAACATGTGTTAGGTCATACTTCAGCTCTCAATACACTAAAAAAATATACATTATACATGTTCTTTGACCATGATGAAATGACATCAGAAATACGTAGTAAAAGTAAATTGGGAAAAGCCATAAATGTGTATAAATCAATACTCTTGTAACTCAAATGATGGTGAGCAAATGGACTTTGAGATTAAAAAAATGAATCCACAACATACAAAAAACATGGGATATAACTAAAACAGTGCTTACAGGGGAAATTTAAGGTCATAAATGCCTTTTAAAAAGGAAGATCTAGGGACTTGAGAGGTGGTTCAACTCTGGCAGAGAACCCCTGTTCGGTTCTCAGCACCCACAGGGCAGCTCACAACCATCTCTAACTCTAGTTCCAGGGGATCTGATGCCCTTGTCTAATCTCTGTGAGTACCAGGCACACATGTGGTACATTTACATACATATAGGCAAACACGCAAACACACAAATGAAAATAAATAAATCTTTTTTAAAAAAAGAAAGATCTAAAAATTGATGACTTAAATGTCCATCTTGAGAAACTAGAAAAAGAATAAACAAAACCAAAGCCGGCACAAGGAAAGGAATAATAAAGATTATGGTAGAACTAAACGAAACATAGAAAAATAATAGGGAAACTCAATGAAATCAAAGGTTGGTACTTTGGAAAGATCAATAAAATTGACAAACCATTAGTCAGACTATCGAAGAGAGAGAGAGAGAGAGAGAGAGAGAGAGAGAGAGAGAGAGAGAGAGAAGACTTGAATACCAGAATAGGAACAAAGTGGTGAAAACTGCTGCTTCCCTTACAAGAGAAGATGCCTCCGCGCTTTCTGTGGATACTGACAAACTTGTTCTGAAGTTTACAAGGAGAGATAAAAGTACAACAGCCAAGTAATCTCAAAACAATCTCAGCAGGGAGAACAGAGGACGAGGACGAGCGCTCGGATTCCTTTGCTCCAAGATGTCCCAGGTGTCGGGTTTCTTGGGTGCCATCCATCTTTGATTCCCTCTCATCAGTTTTCCACATGGTTTCTCCAGGTTCCCATATGAATCTGGGCAGATGTTCTTCAGCAGGACACTCATTGTATTATGGAGCATGGTCTGCTTCTTGAAGACAAGGCGACTTTCTGCCTTGTATCTCTAAGGCCTAGTGGAACGCCCTAAGTAGAAAGAACAATTAATATTTTAGCTAGATGGGTGAATGCTGGCTGGCTGGATGGGTGGATGGATGGATGGATGGATGGATAGATAGATGGATGGACGGCTTCAGAATCTTTTACTTTTAGAATACATGAGGCAGTGTGGTTTCCTAGATGGGTACCCCAGAAGGAACATGAAACTTAAAACCCTCCTCTCCAATTCCTCCATGTCTTCCTATCTAGCTAATGCTGAGTCACTTGCTATTTTCTGTCCTTAGTATTAAGTAGTATATCCATGATTGTAATAGAGACATGTGAACATCCTCCAAGCACAGCTTTTATTAACCTAGGAGTAAGCGGGTTCGTCCAACCATGTAGAGTACATTTAGCACTGGATGGAACTAGTCCTTTATTTTAAAAGCCAATTTAGTAGAACTCTTCATTAAATCAAAGCAGTCAAACTAGAAGCTTGTCAAAACACAATACCTCATCTCTCTAATATCTTTGCAGACCCCCTTTTGTACAAAGTTTATATAGCACCTCATCAATATTCATAACAGGTTTGGGGCATAAATAATTTGTGAACCCTGACATTGCTACCCTGTAAACTGGCCCTAAGTTCCCTTTTCTACTACTGACAGGAAAGGACATTGCAGATGGGAATTTATAGGGTATTAGATTTGACAGATAAAGTAACAGAAAAGGTAACAGAAAAGGAAAAAGAGATTTCCTGTGCTCATTCAGCATCGTGCATCCTACCATAAGAACTGGGAGTTGTCTTCTAATGTGCCACAGCAAAGGGAAGAATAGCCCAAGCCTTTCCTTGCCTCTCAGTTCCTAATACATTCTAACTCAAAATTGGATTCTTTCTTGGCTATTTTCTTAATACAGAAAATGGCTTAGTCAAATTTCAGAATTTTAGGTCTTTTCTGTTTTTGACCTCTAAGACATTCACTCAATTTCTCATTTCAACTTTAGCCACTGGAGGCATGAACAGGACCACTTTGCAGCATCCTGGCCTGGTGGGAGGGGAACAACACAGGAGTTTAAACTCGGTTGCAGACTCTTGCTATCACTCACCTCTCTGACTGTTGTAACAACATTCCACTTTGCAGTATAATTTTTCCTAGCGGTACTGAAGACCACAAAAGCCTCCCGTTCCGCCATAAAAAAGGTAATTTTCATTAAGGCAAGGGGAAAAAAGTTCAAACTTCTTGAGTAAGGTAGACATTTTTCCATTCACCTCCTAGAACCCAATTTTTTCTAGAAATATTATAGTTAAAATCATCTATATTAAATCTACTTTTTATGTGTATGAGTGTTTTGCCCACCTATATGTAAGTGTGCACTGTACAAGGAGGGCCAGAACAGGGAGTGGGATCCCTTGGAACTGGAATTAATTGGATGGTTGTTAGATGCCGTGTGGGTTCCGGGAATTGAACCCATGTTCTCTGCAAGAGCAGCGAGTGTTAGTGACTGCTGAGCTATCTCTCCAGTCCCCAAATCTACTTTTTGATGTATAATTTTCTAGTAATTTTACAATGAGTTTTCTTTCAATTTCAATAGAAATGGCTTAAAGATCAGTTCTTAAAACTCTGAAATTCTAATGTAAAATATTATTGAAGTTTACCTTTTCCCTAATTTGACTTTTTTGTGTAAAGACAAAGCTAAATATTACATTCAAAAGGCAAAACATGGTTTCTTTGTCTTTTGAGACAGCTTGGAGCTTGAGCCCAGGGCTCCATGCTAGGCAGGCACTGGACCACTGAGCAACATCCCCAACAGTGTCTTTTGAGAAATTTCAGTGTAGCACACATCCTGGGCCAGAGGGCTTGAGATCAATGAGATGAACTAGGTGAGCTGACCAGCACACCCCAGATCTCACTGATCAACTGCACCTCTGTACACATCAAAGGTGACTTGAAGTCCCCGGCTCCCTAGGCACTAAAGGACCAGCAGATGAATTAGTACCGTCAGCAGGATTTCCCAGAACCACATAAAGGAGGGTAGGCCTGGACTCTGGTGGCACTGCTGCCATTATCTTCTGAGCACCTCAGAGATGCCTCCTGCCCCATACTTAATTCCATTGCCCTTTCTGTGCCCAGCTTTAGAAAAGGAAACAGGGTCTCATACATTTCAGGGTGGCCTCAATGTGGCTGAGGACAAACTTGAACTACTGACCCTTCTGTCTCAACCTCCTGAGGGCCAGAATTAGACACATAAGACAATGTTCATTTTACGCAGAGCTGAAGCTCAAATCCAGGGCTCTGTGCATGTTAAATTGTGTTAGGCTCTTGCTCCAGCAGGAAGTGGTTTGAAGATTTGAAGAATTAATCCAACAAATGTTTTTTGTTTGGGGGAGTCATCTGGGAGCAAAATCTGGGTGCGTCTTAGTGTGTCCCCAGCCTGGTCAAGTTGAAAGACAGATGGATGGAAAACTCAAAGAACTGGTCAAGCCTGATATCGGCAAATGTGCAAGAGACCAAGAGTCAAGGGAGGGTGGAGGGACAGAGCCATGGCCACTGGTCTTTCATGTCATTTGTTCAGTCATTTTGCCTCTCCCCAGAAGGACTGCCTGTCCTCCTTGTGGGTAGGAAAAGGAAGTATCAGCAGCACTTTTTGTGTACCTGTAATTGGCTCCCATAGAGGTCAGGAATTTCTCACCACAGGGACTCAAGTACCATTTTCCTGGGATGGAAAATGTTATCCTGAAAGCCAAGGAGATAATACTAGAAAGTTAGATGGGTGAGAAATAGATAAGTACAGACAGATAGATAGATGATAGATAGATAGATAGCTAGATAGATAGATAGATAGATGATAGGTAGTTAAATAGATGATAGAAAGATGATTGATAGAAAGACAGATAATGATAGATGATAGGTAGAGAGATGATAGAATGACAATGGTTTAAAAAAACCCAACAGGGATAAAGATGTTGGAAATTTGATGACGATGGTTTCTGACATTGCCCCTTGTGTGCTGGTTAGTTTTGTCAACTTGACAGAAATTAAAGTTACCTGGGAAGAGAGAACCTCCATTGAAAAATTACCTGTATCAGACTGGCCTGTAGGAATGTCTGTGGGGCATTTTCTTGATTACTAATTGATGTAGGAAGGCCCAGCCCACTATGGGAAGTGCCATCTCTAGGGTCTGGGCAGTGTAAAAATGGTAGTTGAGCAAGCCAATGGAGCATTCCTCCATGGTCTCTGCTTTAGTTCCTACCTCCAGGCTCCTGCTCTGAGTCCCTGCCTTAGCTTCCCTTGATGATGGACTGTAACAAGTGAGCTAAATAAACTATTTCCTCCCCAAGTTACTTTTGGTGGTTATCACAGCAACAGGAACCAAACTAGAATATCCTTGGATTACCAAGCAAGCGTATCCCCCATGCCAGCACTTAGCACTACATCCTTGGCAAACTATGGAGAAAGCTACCCCGCACCTTCTAGCAGACACTGCTGTTTGTAGGATGAATTGCCACTTTCCATAGTGCACGGTTTCCCAAGTCTGCTAATCTTAAAGGCCCTAAAGACACACAAAGTTCCCAAACCTCTAGATGAACGCTGACCACGGTTGATCACTGTCCTGCTCCTTCTCATCCTCTCTTCTTCTGATGATTTCACTAGCCTTGGAGGAACTCTGTATTACCTTTTTGTTCTGTCATGAACTACCATGAACAGAACAACTTATATAAGAAAGGGTTTATTTTGGCTTACAGTTTAGTTTGGGAAAGAAATCACTAATGGAGAGGAAGGCACGGCAGCAGGAAGCTGAGATCACGTCTGAACCACACACAAGAAGCAGAACGAGAGAGCAGGAAGTGGTACAAGGTATAAACCCTCAAAGCCCACCTTCAGTGATGTACTTTCCAGCAAGGCTGTACCTTCTAAAGATTCCATAACCAAACTAACACCAACAGGGGACCAAATGTTCAAATACATGTGCCTATGGGCAATCTTCCTCATTCAAACCACAACATTTGGTCCCCTGGCCCTCATAGGCTCATGACTATCTCAGGATATAAAATGCATTTAGTCCACTTTCAAAAGTCCCCATAGTCTTTAACAGTCTCAGTGCAGTTTAAAAGTTCAAAGTTTCTCCTAAGACCCAAGATTATCTCTAAACTGTGACCCTGTAAAATAAATATATATAATTACATACTTGCAACACACAGTGGCACAGAATATACATTACTATTCCAAAAGGAAGGACCGTGGACATAGTGAGAAAACACTGGACCAAAGCAAGACCAAAGCCCAGAGGGAAAATACCAAATCCTATAGCTCCGTGTCCAGTATCTGGGCTTCAGCTTCAAAGGGCTTAGACGGCTCCATGCTTCCAGCTTTGCCGCCTGCTACATACAACTCTCTCTTGGGCTGTTTCATTCCCTGTATGTAGTTCTCCTTGGCAGGTATTTCCTAACTCTGGCATCTCCAGCATCTCGGGGTCTCCACTGCAACCCAGGGTTCACCTTCACAGCTTCAAGCAATAACCTCTCTGAGCCCTCACACAGTAACTCCAGCCCTACCACGTTGCCTAGACTCAGTAGCTCTCTGAAACCAGAGAGGAAAAATCCCCAACCTTCTCACTTTTGTGTCTTTCTTGTCTCCAAAACCAGTACCACATGAATGACACTGCCAATTCAGTTGCCATCTTTGGATGGACCCTGTTCTAGTTTGTTTCTTCACTGTTGTGACAAAACACTCTGACCAATACCAACTTGGGGAGGAGAGGGTTTATTTAGCTTACATCTCCCAGGTCACAGCTCATCAGGGAGTCCAAGGTAGGAACTCAGAGCAGGAACCTGGAGACAGGAGCTGGAGCACAGGCATGGAGGAATGCTGCTTACTGGCTTGCTCCCCTGGTCACTGCTCAGCCTGCTTTCCTATGCAACACAGGCCCACCTGCCCAGGGGTGGCACCATCCATAGTGGGCTGGGCCCTCCCACATTGCTCAGCAATCAAGAAGGTGCCCCATGAACATGGCCACAGGCCAGTCCAATGAAGGCAATTCCCCTGTTGAGGCTCCCTCAACCCAGGTGTGTCAAGTTGACACTAAAGCTATCCAGCACAGACCCTTCCCCCCCCCTTCAATTACATTAGCAACATCTTTCTGATGTAGTTGCTTTCTAGGAGCAGTAAACCTCATAGGCTCTTTCCTTTAACAAACTAGAGTTTTAGCTGGGTAGGATCTTATCTTTAGAGACCCTTTCCTATCTTTCCAATGCAAAGCAGGAGGCACTAATCTGCTTAACAGTAACAGTCTTTCCTTTAGCACTTGACTTGGCTGTAATATTAAGCTTCCTGGTGCTCCTTTTCTCTCCAAGTTGCATATTTTGTATCTTTTCTGCTTTGATTTATTGTTCTTTCTCGTTGTAGATCTGCGTAAGAGCAATCAGCAATAACCATGTCACAGATTTAATGTTATGCTGTACTGAAATTTCGTTTGTCAAAAAATTAGTCCCATTACTTTTTCATTTAGCCTCATGCAAGTTTTTAGGGCATGAGGGAGAATACAGCCAGATTTTTTGTTTATCAATATAGCATATGAATGGCTGGTATGTAGCCCAGTTCCTAATAGAGTCTTTGTTCCCCTCTAAACCCTCATGAGCCAGGTCTTCAGTCTGAATTACTCTCAGCATTACTGTCTTCCAGGCTCCTACTTATCAGGCTTGCATCTAAGTTCTGCTTACAACATTCAACTGCTTTTCTAGGCCAAAGTTCCAAAGGCTTCCACATTCCTCCCCAAACCAACATGGTCAGGTCTTTCACAGCAACAGCCCACTCTTCTGCTACCAACATCCATATTAGTTACTTTTCCGTTGTTGTGATAAAACATTATGATCAAATGCAACTTAAAAGGAGTTTATTTGGGCTTACAGTTCCAGAAGGATAGATGTCCATAATGAAAGGGAAGGCATAGGAATAGGAACAGGAAGCTAAGAGATCACATCTGAACCACACACAGAAGTAGAGAGAGAGAGCAGTATGTGGGGTAAGGCCTCAAACCTTTAAATCCACTGCCAGTGGTATACTTTTTCTACAAGGCTGCACCTCCTAAAGGTTCCACAACCTCCCCTAACAGTGCCAATGGGGGAGAACAAGTGTTCAAATACATGACCTTGTGGGGGTTATTTCTCATTCAAACTACCACACCCTGCTATATAGAACATGAGAAATACAAAACAAAAACAAAATTCCACAAAACAAACAAAAAAGACCAAGGCATGCAGTCTTCTGTGCCTGAGAACTGTAAAGATACTGGAATTCCTCTACTAATCACAGAGTGCTGTGTGACACTATTCTTAGGGAGAAATGAACAAATGTCTTCTCACTCTAGACAGGGAACCAACAGAGACCAAAGAAAGACAACCACCAGAGTCCAACTTGGTGAACCAGTGAGCTTCACTGCAGTTACTTATAAGAACAGGAACAACTCAAATGATGCACACAGCTGCATCACCAAAGTCCATCCCAGCGTGGGATGAAAGCTGGAACCCTAGAGCTCGCTGCATGGCTTGCAGTCAGCTCAACAAGTAGAGAGTATCTCTTCCTGTGGCTCAGTTGGTCTGAGCCTCCACCAAGCAGCACTGTTGGTCTGAGAGTCTTCTAGGTAGCTCTGAGAGTATCATTCAATAGTTCTTACCTTCTATATACTTGGGGAGGGAGGGGCCTAGTGAATCTGGTCAGTTTCAGGGACTGCCTGAAACTATTGAGTTGTTCACTTCCCTTGAAGGAGCTTCCTTGAATGTTGGAATGTTTCACCTCCCTTTAGAACATCCTACTGTTTACTTCCTGTTGTTTTTACCTCCCTTTTAGCATCCTGCTGTTTACCTCCTCTTAGAGCATCCTGGTTTTGTTTTATTTTTACCTCCCCTTTAACAGCCTGCTTCTTAAGAAGTTTCCCTTCAAGCCGGAAGGTTTAATCTTGAAGGAAGTTGCTGTATAACCAAGAACTTTTGACATGCCACTATAGCAAGCTACATATGAACAGAGCTCATCTAACAATACACTTGGACACCATTGTCATACGACTTCAGTGGAGTTTTCTATAGTCTTAAATGGGGATACCCACAGCCTCTGCCCATAGATGGTTGAATGGAAACGTGGAAAACTTCATGACAGAACAAGGATGAGCATCTGGGAATCACTGGTGAGGCTGTGATAAAAGTTGGCCAATGTGGCTGTTACTCTTATCACAGCCAATGTGAAACCATCAAGTCTCATTTATATGCTGTGAGAAGCAACAGAAAAGCAATCAGTTTAGAAAGTGGTATCAGTCAGGGAGAACACAGCTGTAATAAATAACCACTGGGGTCCTCTGCTTTGAATATGTGTCCCTCTAACCCTCACTGGGAGACTTGGTTCTCAATGCTGCTGTTTTCTGTTGCTATGATAAAAATAGTCCTATACAAAACAACTTGCAGGGGAAAGTTTATTTGGCTTACCATTCCAGGTTAGAGACTATCAATGAGAGGAAATCAAGGCAGGAATTCAAGTACCTCTTGGCCCTAGCCACTGGTATCACCTTCTTAGTCAACATCGCACACTGCTTAAAGATTCCGTTGAGAAAACAGGCCAGAAAGCTTTCCAAACTGTGCAGTACCACTCCTGTGGAGCAGAGAGGCTGCTCTCTGAGGGCTGCTCAGTGTCTGACTGGAGAGGCACCCCAGAAGCCCCTTTCCATCTGAACCACAGGCACTGGGTCTTTGGTCATGATTACCTCCTGGGCTTGATGCTTCCTGTTCTCAGGCAATGGTGGAGATCGTGTGTGTGTGTGTGTGTGTGTGTGTGTGTGTGTGTGTGTGTGGGTACATAGGTATATGTGCTTAAAACTCACCAATTCAGCTAGACTGTCTCACCACATCACATCCACAGTCAAGAACGAAAAGAGAATAAATACGTGTTTTACTTGCCTGTTGCTCAGCGCTCAGCTTGCTTTCTCTACTCACACTGTCCTGGGGCCCAGCCTATGAAATGGAGCCACCAACATCCAGGATGGGGCCTCCAACTTCAATTAACAATCAATATAATCCCCCACAGACGTGCCCACACGCGGAGCCCTTGCACCCACAAGCACGGAGCCCCCACACCCACAAGCACGGAGCCCTCACACTCACAAGCACGGAGCCCCCACACTCACAAGCACGGAGCCCTCACACCCACAAGCACGGAGCCCGCACACCCACAAGCACGGAGCCCGCACACTCAGAAGCACGGAGCTCTCGTACAAGCACAGAGTTCTACAATCACCTGCAGTCTGGGCTGGCCATCCAGTGAGCTGCGGGAAGAAAGGACTGGGTCCTCATGTTGCTAATGCTCTCTGACACTTGCCAACATCCCTTTTAAGAAGCCAAGAGTAGACCTGGGGTTCAGAACATTCAAGAAGCAATAGTATTTCATTAGAATTTAAAGTTTTTTTTCTTTTATACTTTTTTTTCTATTACCTTCTGTTTGTACAAACTGATTTCTACCCAAGAATGACTAAAGATTCATTAAGTAAAGATTCGTTTTTCCAAAAAATGTACAGAATTTAATGGGCCAGAGGAAAATATTAAATAAAAGTCTAAGAGGTTCATAGTCATGAAAAAAAAATGTGAAAATCACACATACATGATTTATGTCAAGAAAACCTAACCAACCCACTCCATGGTTTGGATGTGAAATGTCCTGTGGGTTCATATGTTTAAGGCTTGGTCCCCTGCTAGTGATGCTGCTCTGAGAGGTGGTGGAACATTTAGGAGGTTAGGCCTTGCTGGGGAAGTGGACCACAGCGGTTATGCCTTTGAAGATTATACCTTGCCCCCAGCCCCACACCCCTTCCCAACCACCGTGAGGGGAGATGCTCTGCTCTACCACACACTCCCACCACTGTGATGTGCTGCATCTCCACAGCCTGTAACAATGGATGAGCCAGTGAGCATGGATCGAAACCTCTACAACCATGAGCCGAAATAAATCCTTTCTCCTTTTGAATCACTTCTCCCAGGCATCTGACCCAGTGGTGAACGTCTGATTAACACAGCTAGCGATGGGATGCTGAGGCCAAGGGCAAGGTCCTTTGCATATAGACCTTCATATGGAGATCATGTCAACAGCTCCCAGACAGAGGGCTGGAAGAAGTACAGTATCAGGTACCGGTGAGCAGGATGAAGCCCTAGTATCTGAGCAGGGAGGTAAAAGGAAAGGGCCTATTGAGTCTAAATCTGGCCCACAGGGAGCCCACTTAAGGATCTGTCCAGAGCTAATTCTGCTTCTGTAGGCAACACTTGCTCTAAGAACAGCCAAACTCTTGACTTCAGGGCCCATTCCTTTAGCAACAATTTGCCCGTGGCGCCAGTAGAAACAGCTCAGGTCTGGCTGCCTGGCTCAGTGTTAGACTCCAGGAAATAACCCTGGAAGATGTGCATGTGAGCTAAGTCAATACAGGGCATCACTGGGCACTGGAGGGCATGGGTACCAGAAAGAACAGCTACAAGGCTGCACGGGACTAATCAACATCTCATCTTTCCTCCATGAATGTTTGGACTATAGCAAGCAGCACCGGTCCCTACCCCAGGTAGAGGTGTCAAACAGCTTCTGAAGTCTGACACTGTGGACATTTTGAACTGAGCATTATTGTGGAAAATTGCCAAGTACACTATAGGAAGTAACTCTGCCTCTACCCAACAAATACCTGGGCCCCTTCCCACTCTGTAATGATCAAAGACAAGTCTGGACATTACCAAATGCCCTCTGGAAAAAAAAAGTCATGTCTGGTTGCAAATAACTAGATTAAAATAACCCTAATTGGTTTGTACGCAGTTAAAAGTACAGAAAAATGCTGAAAAGGGTGGATTTCCACCTTGGTGCTAAGGGATACAAGAACTCAAGAAATCAGCTACAAGACCAGAAGTTTACAGCGCATGGCTTCTAGATGTAAATACAAAGGTCCTGGTGTACAGTAGATGCTCAGTGTCAGTGCTCACTGAAATCACCGCCAGTAGCCACTCACGTACTTTTTAATCCTCACTTGTTACTGGTGCCCAGGCTATCATTTGCAATCTAAGTCTTCATAACAGTCTTTAAGACTCAAAATGACACAGACTAGACCAGCTTCCTGAAAAATGTAAATTCTATTCATCCAATTAGAAATATGTTATGGTCAACGATGCATGTGCTGGAAATAAATGTAGTGAACTGCAGGCGAACTTGGGAGGGTTGCATGCAGTTTAAATGCAAAAATTACAAAATGAATATGTCTGCATTGCACAACTACAGCACGTGTGCTACAGAAATAATCTTTAATGTATTTTTCCAACTGGGTTGGGCTGGTAGGGTACAGTGTGGTTCTTGCATCAGAAAGCAGACTTTGTAGACGTGTACCATGCAAGAATTTTCTTTGCTCAAAGACAGTCAGTAAAGAGATGGTAAAACCTGTAGGGGTTAGGGGCCGGGGATGGGGAATCAGGTCTTTACCAGGGATAAACTTTTCTCTCAGGAATGTATTCCCTCTGAATTCCAGGCACTTTTCCTGGATCTCCTGTTGGGTGGCTAGTCCCTTGATTTGGTTGGCTTGTTTAGTTTTGTCTTGTTTAGTTTTTGAGGGGTGGGGTTTGGGGTTCTGTTTGTTTGGGGGTTTTTTGCCTTTTTTGTCTCTTTGGTTGGTTTTGTTTTTAGACATTTACGAAAAGTTTATTTATTTATCTTTATATTTTATGTGTATGAGTGTCTTGCATGCATATATGTAAGTGCACCGAGTGCAATGAGCGGAAGAGGGCATTGGATTCCTTAGAGATGGAGTTAAAGACAGTTATCCACCATGGGTGCTGGGAACCAAACCCAAGTCCTCTACAAGAGTGGCCAGTGCTCTTAGTGGCTGAGCCATCTCTCCAGTCCCTTATTTACTTTTTTTGAGATAAAAAGTCTCACTATATATCCTTACTTGGCTTAGAACTCACTATGTAGACCAGGCTAGCCTCCAGCTCATAGAGATCCACTTGACTCTGCCTTCTGAGTGCTGGGATTAAAAGCGTGGGCCACCACGCCTGGCTTGGTTTTGTTTATCATTTTCGTTCGTTTGTTTTGAGACAGAGTCTCACTCTGTGGCCCAAGATTGTGTGGAACACACTGTGTAACCCAGGTTGGCTTCACACTTCTAGTGATCTTCCTGCCTCGGTCTCCCAAGCACTGGGATTAAAGGCATGAGCCCCATACACAATTTTCCTCACCTCTTCTCCTGTATTGAAGCAAATGAGATCATGGTCATATTGATGGAGAAGATGGAAATCAGTAATTGATGCATTTCGGTTTCCCTTTTAGTTGCTTTCAAACACTTCAGAGTAGATGCCAGCCATGGATCACCTGTCATGGTGTGGCAGCTGCATGTGGCAAGTGTCTATGTCCTTCACCATTCCACCTGACCAGCTGGAGTTGCTGGAAAGGAAGAACTGACTCTGCTGGGGCTTCTCTGGCCTTGGGGGCAGGGGAGGTGGGTCATTAACACCTCCAGACAAAGCCCTCAGAGCCTTCAGGTAATTAGGTACAAACCACAGCGGCTTCCTGGTCCTCCCTGAGGTACAAGTCTCAAATGAATGTTCTGTTCTGATAGAACCCCAGTTGCCCGAAGTGGCAGCATCTTTATATGGCCACCTTGCCTGCTCTGTTTTGCTTATAAGCGACTTGCTTTCAGGTTCTTTTTATAGTGGAATTATTATATTTATTTATTTATTTATTTAGTATATGTATATGGTAGAGTACGTGCCAAGGCACATGTGCGGAGGTCAGAGGGCAACTTGGGGAGTTGCTTCTCTCTTTCCACCGTGTGGGTCCCAGGGATCAAACCTGTGTCTTCAGGCTTGGCTTGGTAGCTGAGTCATCTCACCAACCCTTTCAAGTTCTTATCGTAGGATCTGCTTTCGGGGTAACTCGAGTCCAGGTTCTTGTGTTTTTCTCCTTGGTGTGAAGGATGCCAGGGTAGCAGCCATCGAGCCCACAGCCTCATGCTAAGTTCTTGCTCTGTCCTGAGCAGTGCCCAGTCCTGACTGCTGCCTTTTATACCTGTTAACTTTACCTCATTGCTCAGCACTAAGGAAGAAAGCTTAGGGGGCTCTGAAGGTCAAATCCAGCAATGTCTACCAAGCCGTCTTCTCAAACAAAACCATGGGTACACCATTTACAGCCTACAAGCTTGGTAAGGCCTGAGACTCTGGTGAGCCTGTCAAATCTCCCCAAACCCCTGGTAATGTGTTTGACTGGGTGTCTACAAAAGGTGATGTGAGACCCACTTGCCAGCTAGAGCCACAGCCACAGAATCATCTGTAGTTACAGATGAATTGTGATTAATGTGGGCTGTGTGTTCTTAAAGCAACCTTTGGTAAGAGTAGGCTACAACATAAAAAGCATGCTTGAGGATCTAGGAATGTTAGTGGTTGGGACTGGAATTCCTGCCTCTAACACTACCCTTGCACTCTACAAATCAGAGGAGAAAATGCCTCTGGGGCTCACCCTGCCTACCCCAGAGTTATAGATCATAGATGGTCATCTGGTTATCTGGTCACAGAAGTTGTTTCTGGGAGAAGACACCGATGCTTGGAATCTAATACTTGCCCTGGCTTTGTGCTGCCTTTGCAGGAATCCATACAGAGGCTGCAGTTCTGAGGAAGCCACCACCTTCCCAGGCTGAATTCTGCCATCCCTGGGCCCCTCCCCCACATTAGCTTGATATCCAAATGCAACTGGATGGCTGGAGAGACTCCTGGTGATCAATGACAGCTCCAATCAAAGGCACCCAGACAGGCTGTGCACTCACATCTCCTTGATATAAAAGGTGTTTTATTTCTCATCCCTTTATTTTTGTCACTGAAAGAATGCTTCCCGTGTGTGGATTAATTAAAGCGTAAACATTAAATATTGATTGATGCATTATCAGCGTGGAGCAGTGGCCTCCCGCCGGATTGATTCCTGCGGTGATTTATTGTCATATTCGGGGAGTCATCCTACTTGATAACCAAGAGGGACCACCCGCCTCCCCCACCACACTGATTCCACTCTATTCTTCCAGGTGACATCCACGTTCCAATAACACAGACATCTTCATCTGACTGTCCCGAGAAAAGCCTGTGGCCTAACATTTGCTTTGCGTATATATGTATGTCTGTGTGTCTCCCAGGCAATTTTCAAATCAATTAAGAACTGAACACAGAAATGAACACATCTACACTCTTCTAGCCAGTATTTCTGGTTCACAGAGCTTGCCCCTACAGTGCACTGTAAAGACAGCAGGCAGGTTGCAGGACAGAAAGGACAATAATACAACGGAAAAGAAGATCCTACAGAGACCGTCTTCGTGTTTTCTAAACAGAGGGAAACAATTCACAGCCACGACTGGTTCTAAGTCTCTACAATATGACTCCCCAGATCACATTTTATCAGGTTGACTCCATGAAACCGTTGTCTTTACAAGTAAAGAAATGATCAAATACTGACGATTTCATAGGACTCAAAATTTTATATTTCCACTCCCTTCTGAAATAGGATATTATGGTCTCTGTTATTTTGTTTTCAATATGAAAACGGCCCAAAAAGCAAGTCACAGAGAGTCCCCCTGTAGCCTGTGTTTTTTCATAAACCAAGCATGAATCTAAATGGTTTAGGACCTTTCCCACTGAAGACCTCCCTCAATGCATTATGACTCTGCTGGTTTGATAGCATATCAAACCAAACAAGGCTTCAGGTAACCAATAAGCCATGGAAAGTCCATCCAAGCATTCACTTTTACACTGAAGCCTCCAGACCCCTGGGTCTAAGGCCCATTCAACAGTGCATGTGGTCCAGCAGCCTCAGGTGAACTGACTTGGCTTTCCTGTTTCCTGGTTACTCCTCCTTGGCATCAGGGAGGAGCAAACAGCATTCTGACCAGAGAACACATCACAGAGAAGTGCTTGGCCTACACTCTAAGCTGCTGTTCTGAACAGAAGCCTGCTAAAAGAAATAAACATTGGGTGCCTTCATTGCTTGGGGCCCAGACAGGATTTTCCCAGGAGTCTCTGCTCACCAGTACTGAAGTGAGAGTTTAGTCTGTGTTAGTCATCAGAATATCTACCCAATAGAACTAGAAAAGGAAGCTCGTTGTCCTCCTCTGCCTCTCCAGCTGCCCAGCACTGGAGACTCCTGATGGTGGCTTGGGGTCCACCTCCCTACTCCCCAATCCCACCTACCACACCCAGGGTTCCGGGTTCTACCAGTGCTGTACCACAGTGAACAGGGCACACCACCCAGTATCTTCCTTCCTTTTCCTGTTGCTGTGATAAAATGCCCTAACAAAAACAACTTAAGGGAGAAAAGGTTTATTCTGGCTCACAGTCACAGCAGCAGGAGCTTGAGGCTGCTGATAACTAATGTCCAGTCAGGAAACAAGGAACAATGAATGCTTATGCTCAGTTCACCTTTTTATACAGCCCAGGATCCTAGTAAGGGAATGATGCTGCCTACAGTGGGCAGGCCTTCCCCCTCAATTAACCTAATCAACATGAAAAAAAAAGAGTACAGGCAGGCTCTGAGGAGTCTCTCCCAAGATTCTAGACCTCATCAAGTTGACAACTGAGGTCAACCATCACTCTCAGCAAGGCGCAGAATGAGTGGACCCCGCTCTCCGCAGGACTTCCCCCAAGCCACCTCTTCTATCTTCTTCCACTGGTACTTTCTGAGGACGTCCTAGGTACGGTAAACCACGGCTGGCTGTTTTAGAGTGGCTATGTCTCTTGCAAAGCTTCATACTCTGCACAATGTCAGCATATAGTTCAATTATTACCCACCAGAAAATGCACTCTTGGTGACTGTAATCAGAAAACATCCTGCTACAAATACATCCCCACTGCCATTTCCTAACTCTGATGCGTGTGTGTGCATGCATGTTTATGTGTGTCTTATGTGTGCATATGTCAGTGTATAAAGTGTGTACATATGTGAATGTATGTGTGTACATGTGCATGTATGTGTGTATATGTGTGTTTGTGTATTTGTATACCTGCGTAGGTGAGTACATGTGTGTATCTGTGTATATGTGTGAATTTCTACGTATGTATATGTGAGTGTGTAGGTATGTGTATGTGTGTATATGTGAGTGTAGTGTATTTGTGGGGGACATATACATATGTTTGTGCATGTGTGTGTATGTGTGCTAGTGTGTTTGTATATGTCTATATGTATGTATTTGTGTGTGCATGTGGGTTTGTATTATGAGTATGTTTGTGTTTGTGTGTGTTTATATTTGTATAACGTGCATGTGTATGTACATGTGTGAATGTGTGTGTATGTGTATGTATGTGTATTTGTGTATGTGTATATGTGAGTATATAGTGTATGTGTATGTATGCGTGCATGTGTATGTACATGTGTGAATGTGTGTATGTGTATGTATGTGTATTTGTGTATGTGTATATGTGAGTATATATCGGTATGTATGTGTGTGTGTTCTGCATGTGTTTATATATACATACATGTGAGTATATGGATAAGTATGTGTATTTGTATATGTGTGTATGTATGTATTCATGTGTGTATTTGTATGTGTATATACAAGTATGGATGTATATGTGTGCATATATGTGTGAATATTTATTTATGTTTGTGCATGTGTGTATGTGTGTGGTACATGTATGAGTGCATTGTGTGTATGCTTGTGTGTTTGTGTATATGTGTGTGCCTGTATGTGTATGATTGTGTGTGTTTGTATTTGGGCATGTATTTGAGTGTTATGTGTATTTGTATGTGTGTGAGTGTGTGTATATATGAGTGTGCATGTGTGTTAGAGTTGGTGGTATTACTGTTTGTTTGGCCTCTGTGCTGGCTGTCTGGATCCTGTGTTTTGTGCCCTGTTTTGATGCGCATACTGAGGTTGTATGTTGTTCTAAAACTACTTTAGCCATACTCACAGGCTCTGCTATGAGCTGCCTGCCATTCATTTCTTTTTACTTCTCAACCCTAGTTAATTTCGAAAGATGAAACATCTAAGAAAGCACATCTGCAGCATATTTTCTAGAAACACTACCTGCTATGAATTCTAGAATTGCTTAACTTCCTGAAATTGTCCTTTTCAAATCAATTTCATAGATCTTAAAATTCAAAGTTGCAGTAGATGCCACTGATACTCTCCTGTCTTGTAGAGCAGAACTAGCATCACTGGCAGACTTGAAGGACAAAGTCCACCATTTTGTTCAGAGCCACAGAGCAGAGTAA